GACTTTGATGGGACCACATTTCCAATATTTAAAATTAACCTTAATCCAGTGTACAGTTTTGTTTGTGATTTAACTGTGCCATGAAGAAGTGGTTTAGCATTATTTCCCTAGGTGGAATTCTAGACCTATTTTAATAAGTGACTTCAGTTCCTTAATAGAGTGAAAAAAAGTACTGTTTCAAGCTGCGTCCTGATGTCCTCAGGATTGACTGTTTAAGCAACAGAGAGGAAAAACACGTTCTGTAATTGATTCTTGCTTTTTGTTTTGTAGAGGAGGCTATCCTAGAGTAAGACTTTTAACATTTTATTTTGCAAATCGCAGGCTTTGCTGAAAAGAAATTATTAAACTATTCTTGTCCTACCTTTTGACCTTTAACTGCTCTTAGCTTAATGGTTGCCAGCATAAATAAAAACAGGAAATGTTGAAAGTACACAGCATGTTGCCATCTGTAAAGTGCAAAGACAGGTTAGCATTTTTCTTTTTGTAAATGTTGACAAAGCTGTCACTTTACTTAAACTTCTAGTCTTATTTTCCCTTTTCTCTCTCTTTCTTTGATACTTGGAGTGCAAGTAACTTGTGATTTAAGTTTTTATAAATACCTGCATTCTATTGCTATTACAGAGTATTTTCTTAAGTATTTCTTTACAATTTAAAAATAGGTTTTTCTTTCTTGACTTCCAAATCACGGCATCATTAAATGAAATCGTGAACAAAGTTTCAAGTCTTTGCTATTTTAGAATAAGACATTACTGTGGGCAGCGCACGTTAACTGGCCCACATTAGTTATTGCCTCAAGTGCTTTGTGCAGAAACGATTTCAAACTAGATGACAAATTCCTCCCTTACTTTGTATAAGGTAGTGCCAATCAATTTAATTTAATCATGAACTCCTGTTAATTTTTATTGAGCGTCTAATTCTTTCAGATGGTTTGACACATTGGACTTTTCTCCAGTTAGCTGTTAAATATGCCAATCAGTCAAGTTCCTGCTTTTAACAGCCTCTTGGCCCATTGATTAACTAGTGCATTGTTGCAAGTTTACCATACTGGATACTAAATGGATATATTATACAAGTTGAATTAATTTATAATTAAATGATCAGCATTGCAGGATTAAATGTATGCAAAGTAGAATTGCATGAGCATCCTACCTTTTAGCTTGACAACTAAATTGCAGCATAATTACAAATAAATTGAGTTATTATTTTGCATTTTGAACTTTGTAACTATGCAGCAGGTTATGATTGGGGCAGTAACCTGCTCAATGCAGGCTCTTGTGTTCCAAAGGACGAAAAGTAGGGTGCTTTGCAAGCTGAAATTTAGAATGCAGTCATTTTGATGAGAAAAAAATGACAACTGTCTCTTAACTCCCACATTTAATGACCTTTTAAATTTGGTCTTTTTTATCTTTGCTTTAAAGCAAATTATCTCCTACGTGATGCCTGCCTTAGGTTCTGAGAGATAAGATGCGCTATGATAATCTGATTAAATCACATCCCACGCCATTTCTTTAGGGAGTTGGGCTACAGAGGTGAGAATTCAAAACAATTAAGAAAACTAAATAGCATGTGACCCAGCAATTCTTTAAACTGGACAAAAATCACCTTAGTTTCTACATAATCAAACTTAGGCCACCACTACTGCTTTGTACCATAAGACATCTCTGTACTTAGCATTATTTGTACCATAAGACATTTCTTTGGCAGTAATGACTGGTTGAAATATTGTTAAATGTTTTTGTTTACTGGCTTCCATTTAACTCTTGACTCGGTTTCATACATTGGTACGAAGGAGTTAAGTTGCCGGGAAGAAATACTTTGCTAAATGTGGCTTTTCCAATTTTATAGCAAGGAAAAAAAAGGTTCAATTCAAGTAAAACTTGACATTTTACTGACCTTTAACCATGTCATGCTGCCTAGCCTGGGGGAGAAGGGAGAGGGTTTCATGTTACTAAAGTTTAGATATTAACTTATTCAAATTCTAAATTTCTAACTGTGGTTATGTTGTAACTGGAGAGTGAGTGGCTTTTTTTTTATGATTGGAATTTATTTACTATATTTTGAACCCATAGGTGACGAGGGGCAGAAGAAGGCATACAGATTTAATTAACTAAATTTCATAATTCATTAAATTTCATTTAATGTCATTAAATTTGCATCAACAGATTGTGTATAGTGTCTTTAACAAAATACAATTTCCCAAGGTGTTTCACCGGAACAGTATCAAAAAAAACCTAACCGCACAAGACAATATTGGAGTGTTCTGCCAAAAACAATGAGGAGAGAAAGAAGTACTGAGTGCTCAGTGTAGAACAGATAATTTCAGATGCTGAAAGGCCAGAAATGGATGCACACAAATATATGCAAGGTTTTGAGGTTGGACGAGATCAGAGAGCAGTAAGACCTTTGTGGGATTTGAAAATAAGCATGAGAATTTTAAAATCAACGTGTTGATTATCCATATGTCAGTGTAACTCAGTGCAGCGAGTGAGGACAGGGACAGCAGAGTTTTAAATGACCACACATTTTATGGAGGATGAAATGGGAGGCCAACCAGGAGTGCATTGGCTTAGTCAAGTCTAGAGATAACGAAAGCATGGTTGAGGGATTTGGTAGCAAGTGAACTGAGGCAGGTGCAGAAGTAGGTGGAATTAGGTTAAATAAAAATAATTTAGGACTATGTTACCCATATGTGCTAAACACAAGCTTCATTGTGCATCATTGAGGAATGTGTTGGCTTGTATTCTTTATCAAAGGGCTATTGTGCAAATTAAAGAGTTGTACCCTGCAATTGTGTACATCCTTCAGAATCATCAGACGGCATCAGGATGTGGCGACGTGCCTCTCTTGAGAGTGTAGGAAATCTGAAGGCCTTCTTCAAACCTTTATTTTAATACAAGATCTCCAATAATAAATCTTTGTAAATCACAAAAAGGGGCAAACACTTGAATGTTAGGTGAAAAATAGATGTAGTGTTCTGTCACTTTTTTAATTTCGGTCATTTTAGCTAAAAAGATTGAAAGTGGGAGCTTTATCCTGAGCGTGTCTGGTTTTAAAGATGTAATTATCAGCTTTATTAATATTCCTCTTTTAGAGAGTAACAACCATTGTGTTAATCCTTGTTGTTTCTTTCCTTGCTTTGTCTTTTAAATAATTTGTTTAGATGGCATGAGTTAGCAATTAGGGTAAAAAAAATTAAGTTTCTCAGGTATTTTCACCCATGTTTCTTTTGAAGGTCAAAAAGTACCTTCAATTTGTATGTCAGTGGTAGATGCGTTTATCAGCTTTGACTGTGTTTCAATGTATATGCACACATTGATCTGAGGCTTTCAATACTTTGTGTTCATTTTACACATGGGAAATGAAACTGGAGCTTTATGTCAGAGTCCATTCTTCATCCAATAACTGCAGTGAAACAGATGAGTTCAGGATTTGAAGGATTTTTCAGAAATCATTCCGCAGTCAAGACAGTGTGACTGCCTATGTTTTAAGATCCAAATATTTTTAGACTCCAATTCTACCAAAAAAAGTTCAATTTAAGTAAATTATTTGAAAACACAAACCAATAAATTCCTTTTTTAAGCTATTTTTCTTTGGTTAATTGTCTGGTCTTTAAATGCATGGTCTATTTGTCTTCATTGAGCTGAGTTTTTTAAATGTAGATTTTCTAATTTCTTTAATATCTTCATAATTCTGAGCTAATAGTCACAGGAAAGGACGTGCGAATGTCTGTTGCAAATTATTCTTGCTTAGATCAATACAAGTAATAATGTGGTGATAGTGCTTTCTGTGTCTGACATTAATAGCCATCTAATTGGGAATTGAATAAATACCAGGAAAGGAGAAAATAACAGCTATGGGGAAGAGCAGGGAGTAGGAGTAATTCAATAGCTCGTTCACAGGTAAAATGAGCTGAATGGTCTCCAGCTGTGGTGTAAGATTCTATAATTTTAAATTCAAGTATTTAATATTTTGGGGCAGGAAATGGAATTTCTGAAGTTTAACTGTTTTAAAATTGACTTAGAATAAAGCCTTCTGTCTGATTTTAGCCCCTAACTTCAATGTAAGGTCGGTGTAAGTGGATTATAATAAACGAAAACGTGGTTATGCAGTGTATGATAGCAGCTAAAATGCAGTAAGTTCTAAAACCGAAGCTAATGTTATTTAAAAATTACTGTAGGTGCCCTTAAGTTTATTGGAGTTTGGGTTAAGTTTTCTAAAAGATAAATAATTTTTGCTACATGAATAACTTCATGTTATTAAAAATTGTGCTGGTTCTGGGCAACTGAACCATTAATGGTTCTAAATTTTCACAATTGGCTTAATTTGTTTAAAATTATGGATTCTCCACAAACTGATGAGAATTAGCTGTGAACAATTCTGCTTATGACAGGAATGTGAACAAGACTTTTTGTTTTGTGTCTAAAGTATAGATTGTTACGTTAACTGTCTTGTGTTATTACGTTGTAATCTAAGCTATCTTTTGGTGTGGATAGTTTAAAGCAGCATCGGAGCCTCATAATTAAGAACTGGTATGCACCCTGATGTCTGCTGATGCTATTGTGCAGTGCCGATTGGTACGTTGTTTTCACTTCTCCCTTCCCAATGAGGAAATTTAGTTTTCCTCTCTAAGGTTGTAACTGTGAAAGCAAGATTTATTTTCTGATATTCTTCACTTGGATTTAAAATCTTTTCAGGTATAGTGTTATGTAGCTTTTCTAAATCTATGCTGGGTGAATAGAATGGTACATGCTGTATAACTGTGACAACAAAATCCTTCCTAAGACAAGGAAATAGCAATAACTCTGTTTGATATTTATTATGCTTTTTCTCCAACAGTGCTAGTAAAACTGGTATTGTGTGGGTGCTCTTGCTATACCACTAGGTGTCCCTTTTGTCCCTTATATTGCTGCCTTTGCATTGACATTGAAACTATAAAAGCAAGCAGTGGTGAATGTACTGCTAAATGTGCTTCTATTGATTTTCTTTCCCTCTCTCCTCAGTGGGCCTGTACCAGTGCTTGTTATGAGCCTACTGTTCATCGCTTCAGTATTTATGCTGCACATCTGGGGCAAGTACACCCGATCATAGACAAGACCTCAGCTTCAACTTAATGCTTTCGTTCGTCCTGGACCAAATGCCTATTTTTATAGGAACTGAATTTTGACGTATTAAACTTCGCCTTCCGCTGATGAAAATTGATGTGAAGAATCTCTCAATAGCAGGATCTAACAGCTCGATCCTTTTTCCCAGGTTTCACGAAGAGACCATGTGTTGGATTTCTGAAATTTTTGGAAGTTTCTTTCCTATTTTTGTTTTACCTTTTTTTTTATTGTAAAACAACACACTAATGTTCAGCAATAAAAAGAAGTTATTACTTATTTCCATGTTTGTGTCTTTTCAGTATGAAGGTTTTTCCTACATAATTTGTTCTCTCTCTAAATTGTGACAGGTGACATACTTTTGAATATTCTGCTAGACCTTAGAGCATATGAAAATGCAGATTTTTAACTCTACCAGTGTGAAATAATTATCAGAAAGAGCCTGCTCTCAGTAAGATTCCTTTTAAAAATACTCTTGAAGTAGTTGACAGTGTGATTTAGTGACTGATATCTCATCCATGAGATGAGAGTTTAAATCCAGACGATTTTCTGTTGCCGTTTAGTTTCCTGAAAAGATGAAGTTGCCATAGACATAACCAAACTGTAGGCTGCTGCCTCAGAGAGGGGCAACTGGTGTGTGGCAGCAAGAAATGCCCTGCTCAGTTTCAGGCAAATTGTTGGAGAAATCTAGTGTAGACTTACTTCATAAGTTCTTCACGTAATCTAGCAAAAATGGGAAGGTCTCATTTCAATGAAACTAACAGCCCTGGAGTCTCCGAACAGAGAAGGAGACCATTGTTTGGCCTATCAAGTTTGACCAAGAGCTGACCAATCATGCCCCAGATCTATAATAACTGTACACTCTTTCTCGTGAAGAAAATCCTCAGTTGCCTTTTGTTTTTTAGTTTTTTTTCTGTTGTTGTGCCTTTCACAATACTTTCACATAGAGAATTCCAGATCTTAACTTTTGAAGCAATGATTATTCTAATTTCCTTTTGATTCTCTTGCCAATCCAACCCATTTTCCAAAGGAACCAATTACTCCAGTCTTGCTCTATCAAAACTTATCATAATGTTGAATGCATTTATTATATCTCCTCTGCTTTAAGAGAACAATATTATTTTCTGTGATTTCTGCGCATAACAAGCCCTTCATTCTTGGTGTCATCCAGGTATACTGCCCTGTACCCTTTTCCAGACCTTGACATCCAGACTTGTACACAATGCTGTGACTGATGCTGAACCAGTGATTTGTAAAAGTTTATCATAAATCTTTGTTTATTTTATTCAATAACCATGTTTACAAAGCCAAGAATCCAGTTTGTTTTCTTAAATGCTGCCCCATCCAACATCCCCTGCCTTCCTGCCTTTAAATTTGCTCTGCCTTGTGCTCTGCAACCTTTCAAAATAACATTATTTCCATTGTTATAATTTAAATATACTATGAATGTAGGAAACCTGAAATGGAAACAGAAAACGGTGGATATACATAGCATGTCTGGCAGCATCTGTGGACACAAATACTTGAAGAAAAATCTATTAATCTTGATGTTGAATATATATTTTGACACTGCATTTAGGAGGAAAGCGATTCCACTACCCTCTTGGGTGTAAAAGTGCTTCCTAATTTGACTTCAAAATGGCCTAATTTGAATTTTTAAAATAATGAACCTCCCATTATGGATACCCTCACCCAAGGAAGTGGGATTTTTGAGAACATAGAAAAACTATTATCATAGAACCCCTAAAGTGTGGAAACAGGCCTTTCGGCCCAACAAGTTCACACTGGTCCTCAAAGCATCCCACCCAGACTGATTCCCCCTATAACTCACCTAATCTACACATCCCTGAACACTATGGGCAATCTAGCGTGGCCAATCCACCTAGCCTGCACATTTTTGGACTGTGGGAGGAAACTGGAACACCTGGAGAAAACCCACAAAGACACGGGGAGCATATGCAAACTCCACACAGACAGTCTTGTGAGGCAGCAGTGCTAACCACTGAGCCACCGTGCCAACTATTATCTTAAAGACCTTGATTAGATCATTCTTTATCTTCTAAATTCAAGGGAATACAAAATACATTTATGCAGTTTGTTCTTATTGTAACCCTTTAATGGAATATGCACAAAAATATATTCAGATAAAAAGTGAACACTGCTCCAGGTATACAAGCAAATTATCAATTGCTTTTGCATTTCAGTCACATTTGAGATAAAAGGCTGACATTGGACTAACCTTTTTTTTAAACCTGTGCTACTAGCTTTGTGATTTTGTGTATGTGGATAGCAAAGTCCCAATTCATCCTACACAAACATATAACCCCAAGAATATTCTTGGGTTAGTATCTGTTTTAGTGGAACCATGAGAACTTGTGAATCTGCTGGCAAGCGCAAATGGTTTAATCACTTGTCCTTGATTTAGCTTGAGCCTTTCTAAATGACAATTAAAAATGTCCCTTAGAAATGTTTGCATAATTTATTCACTGTAGTCCTAACTTAATTGGCTCTATCCATTTTTTTTTAACAATGGTACCATGTTAACAGTCCTCAAGTTCTCTGACCATTATTTTTCAGTCGTCCATGTCTATTGGCATAGTGCCAGAATCTCTCATTTCCTCACTATCTCACTGTTCACATTGCTCATGGATGTTAGCAAATATGTGGGTAGGAACATTACTGGAAAAAAAGTACTTTCTGAAAGTACCTTCATATTACAGCCTACATAATAAATTGGAGACCAGTAACTTTTATTAACAAAAAAAAATCAATATCTAAAATTAATCACTTCAGGTAAACGTCATCTGACTACAAATATGGTTGCACCAATTTACCTTTTCCTCTAGCTGTTTCAATCGGAAGTAATCTGGAGGTGGCTTTGACTTTTGTCTTTCAGTAATTCATTTTTGATAAGTTGCGTCCCAAGATTTTTACTTCACTGACCTCACAGTTGTCATCTTATCTGAAACCACTTGAATAACAAAGATCCTGCTGTAGTTATGTCATTGGCTTTTCATCTATGTCATTTGGATTTCAGTCTTATCGTGGTGTATTCATTATCATTGTGTGTTTGGGCTTTATAATTATGATTTCAGCCATACCAATGAGTTTTCAACTACTGGATTTCTGGAAAGGAAATTTTTTTTTTCAGTTTTAAAGGAAATCATGCTGAAAATGGAACTGCCGCAAAGGGTTCACAACAGGTAGGTGAACTCACCAACTTATAAGGTATTAATAACCACAGTCTTTAATGATGCCTGTGGGAACTGCTGGCCCATAGAGAAATGACATATCATTATCATTGTTGAATAATTGTTGTCTTTAGGGGGTTGCCTTAAAGTCATCAAACTATTCTAAATGATATTTTAATTTGTGCTTGTTTCTGAACCCCTTTGAAGGTTAAAACAAAAACCTGGATGTTCATTTTGTATTTGTTCTTTTAAGATGTGGAATATAAGTATCAAGACAGCATATCCTGCTTCCTCCATGCCTTTTTCCAGATAGTAGACGTGATGGAATAAAGACATGCCAATACATTATACATATGCAAATTAGATTGCATTTATTTCCTACTGTGCATTTCGATTATCTAAGGTTGCTTGTAATGCTCTGAAATCCCAGTTCTGATACCTCTTGACCAGTTTTGACTTCTTGAGGTGTCTCCAGTCTTAGTAGATTCAAGCTTGGTAGCTCGGCCTTTAGCTGTCTTAATTTCTTGAGCTCCCTCCCTACACTGTGTCTCTGTGTCTGTAAGATATTCCTTAAAATATATTTTTGATACAATATTTTGTCACATGATCTAATAGCATCTTGTGCACCTGGATATCAAATGTTGTTCGATCCTGTAAAATATCTTGGGATATTTTATATAGTATTATTTATATAGTGCTTTTAGCAGTAAATTGGGATATTTTACTGCTAAAAGCACTATATAAATGTCAGGTATTACCTTTAATTGGTAATTCAATAAAATATAGGTTTTATTAAGTCACATTTATTGCTTGACAGTAAGTTTTTTTTTGTCTTCTGATCAAAAGCGGAACAGTTAAGTTTTGTGCTAGCATAGCATGGAAGCTAAACTAAATTCAGGCTGCACAGCTTTTGTTGAAAGACTACATTAACAAAGTCACATTTATTAATCAATATTTTTGAAAACGTAGTGATGTATTTTTCATGGTCTTATAGTTACTGTTCAATCAAGTATTTTAAATAAATAAAACCACGTATTGATGCAGTGCCTGAATAGCAAAAGCTCCAAGTTATGAGAGTAGATCCAGTGCACGTTCAGAGTGGGAGATCATGTGATACATTATGTTGAGTTTGTCTTATCATTACGCTTACAGAATTTCACTACAATTTACCCAGATATTGGTCAGTATAGGTGCCCCCTACCATTTATCAGGTAGTGATCATCCCTGAATGGGTCAATTAGTGGTCAAATAATGTGCTGACCATTTAATTATGGATGGCAGGTAGGCTGTCAAAGCTGCAGCCCCAATAGGAGGCTCTTCAGCTTGCCACTGGAGGTAACGGAGAATGAAGGAGCCTCTAACTTGAGAAACTGAGCAACTTTTTAAAAGAGAAGTAATTAAAATTGGCCGTGGCTGCTGAGTCACCATTGTGGAGTGGGAGGGCCTCAAAGCCAGACCTGGGGCACTGCTCCTATCCTCCCCATCTGCCTCCTGACTTATGATACTGGGGATGGCCTAGTAGTATTAATTGCTGGACTGTTAATCTAGAGACCTAGATAACGTTCTGGGGACCTAGGTTTGAATCCCACTATGGCAGATGGTGGAATTTGAATTCAATAAATATCTGGAATTAAGAGTCTAATGATGACCATGAATCCATTGTCGATTGTCAGGAAAAACCCACCTGGTTCACTAATGCCCTTTAGGGAAGGAAACTGCCATCCTTACCTGGTCTGGCCTACATGTGACTCCAGACCCACAGAAATGTTAGTTGACTCTTAACTACCCTCCGGGCAGTTAGGGATGGGCAATGAATGCTGCCTAACCAGCGATGCCCTCATCCCATGAATGAATTTTTTAAAAATGCTTACACTCTGATTCATTGGAAACGTGTAACCCTGATGTAATGCCAGCACTGCCATTGTGAAACTACCTGGCTTTCATTGTATGCATGTGCTCTTTGCAGAGCCGGTAATGAACGATGTGCAGAGTGTTTTGTCCTTGTTCCCAAATAGCCACCCTCTCGTACCTTTAAGAGGGCTGAAGTAGATGGATGGGGCCAGCTGGCAAAGAATTGAACGCACTGTT